TTAAGGTAGTAGTCGATCAAAAACACTTTTCTTACGATTTTTCTAAAATTTTGTGTGTGCCTTAAGATTGCTATTATTTATCATGAGCCAAAATTTGAAGAGGCTTAGCGGTATAGTTTTGGAGATATTAAAGTTTTAATGTTGAACTTTTAACACAGGAGGTATAGGAAAGCGCCGGATTGGGGGTCGATTTGTGAACGAAATTGCTTTAATCTCTAAAACGCTTCTTACAATGTTTCGTAAAAAATAGTATGATATAATTTATATTATAAAGCAACTGTGGTTCCAATTTAAAAGGGCTCAGCGGTATAGTTTTGTTGTTCGAGCTTTGCAAAGTTGACTCGACTACTACTTTAACACATTTTTTGTAGTTCGACAACCGTTCTATAGTAACTGACGTAGTGGGTTAGATTTTTATTGACACTTAGCATCAAGCTATTACTAGTAGGTTACTGAGTGAGTCTAGTCAGAAATTAGTAGTGATTAAACTTAGCTTTATTTTCTGTTTTTTGCCTGTGTATAATCTTTGGCGCACAACACTGCCTACTTACTGAAAAATAAGCTGTAAATAATAAATTTTTTGAAACATTTTTAAACTACATTATATGAAATCATATTATTCTAATTTTAATTTTAGCTTTTCTATACAGCTAATAATTTTGAACTAATGGACAAGCTTTGAGTGTACCTTGTCTCTTTCTTTTTAAATTATTTCCTCTCTGCACTAGAAATCAGCTAAGCCTAACGAAGCACGGTAATTCGAGCTTACATTACTACTAGTACAGAAAATAGAGTTGAAAATCGCAATCACTGGTGGGAGCATAGTTTTTCATGAGTACTTGGTACAGTAGTCCTTAGTTTTGCGATATTTTTTGATGGCATGGACGACGAGATTTACAACTAAGACTACATTTAAGATGTCAGTTTTTATTTTGCTCTTAGCTTTAGTATATGACCAGTCACAATGACCGTCACGCTACTGTTACACTTAAAACTACGTGTGTAGGTGTACACTTACTAGCATTTACGCTCACACATGCTAAACTGAACGTCATTAGAGACAGCAGGAATGATTATTACTGCATAAAAGAAGATTCACCAATTAAAAAACTAGGGGCGTATACTATTGCATTAGATGCATGTCTTCGAAACATCTCTTAATCATCCAGCATGATTCTGATTACATTTCCACTGTAAATCTCTTTATAACATTAAAAATAGATGTCCTATTCCTATTTATGTCAGTAGTCTTTTCCTTTCTTTTTCTTCATATTTTCGTCACTATTTCTATCTTACTACCTTCTTTCTTGAGACAAAATTAAAACGAAATTTCATTTAAGTTTATTCAGTAGATTTTCATAGACTTCATAAGTTTTAGTGATCTATTAATTATTTTATGTAACTGGAAAATTATTTTGATTTTAATTTTTTGAGTTTAATGACAACAACAATTACAAACAAAGTTAGAAATAAAGTGTCTTGTATATAACAAATATAGTTTTTTAAGTTGAAATAGTACCAACAAGGAAGTTAGAACTTTTTTTTACTATTGTGATTAACCA